ACCCCTTGAAACGCCAGAGAGACCATAAGCAGTGATTTCGATGGACTTTATAACTGATTTACCACTCAGTAAAGGTAAAACAGTGATTTGGGTGGTGGACGACACATTCTCCAAGCAGGCACAGCTTATTCCTTGCAAACAACTACCCTCAGCCAAGTCATTAGCCAAGCTTTTCATACACCACATTGTGAGGCTGCATTCCCTCCCCCGCAAGATCATTTTGGACAGGGGGTCACAGTTCATTGCAAAGTTCAGGAAGGAACTGCTGTGGGTGTTGGGGGTGGAACAAGGTCTCAGCAGCTCCCCTTACCCAGAGACAGATGGGCAGACTGAGAGTGTGAATCAAGCGGTAAAGCAATTCCTCCGGTGCTTCACCAATTAACAGCAGGACAACTGGGTCGATCTCCTCCCTTACATGGAATACAGTTATAATAACTCAGTGCACAGTGCCACTGGCCTCTCCCCCTTTAAGGCTGTGCACAGGTACGAAGGGACCCCCCTCACCACGGTGACTACCCAGGAGCCCAAACAGGGAGATTTGTAATCGTGGTGGATCGATGATCCACAATTCAAGATACTCTGAGAAAGGCAAAAGAGGACTATAAAAAGCAAGCTGATAAAGGGAGAGCTCCTGAATGGGAGTTGCAGCCTGGGGACTCAGTGTACCTCTCCACAAAAAAATCTGAAGGGGCTCCAGCTGGGGAGGAAATTGGGGTAGAAGTATATTGGCCCATTCAACGTGTTGAGAGTCTTGAACAAAGTGGCTGTGGAACTTGATTTACCCAAGACTCTGAGGCATAGTCACCCTGTATTTCATTTCAGTTTACTGAAAAGGGATCTGGGCCCGAACAAGTGGAGACCTCATCCAGCTGCTCCACCTCCTCTAATGGTGGATGGTGAACCCCACCAGGAAGTGGAAGAGATCTTCGATTCTATGTTGAAACGGAACCAACTATACTACTTGATTAAGTGGAAGGACTTTGATGAATCACATAATGAGTGGGTCAAATTTGAACATGTTAGAGCCCCCCCTCTAACTTGTGCATTCCATAACAAATACCCTCACAAGCCGAAGGGGTGAGAGGTCTTGGGGGGGGGCAGTATGTCAGGCTCAGTATGCATTTTATAGTTCGTCTGCTATAGAGGAAGGGGGAAGGGGAGAGGGGTGTGAAAATCAAATGCTTTCGTTTTCCTAACTGCTTTGATGTACCAGACACTGTGTCACAGGGACCTCTTGTTTTGTTTTATTTCTGTAGAGGGGTATGTGCTCAGTGGGGGGTTAGTTGACTGTTATTTCTGGTGGTCAAATGCTGTGGGGTGATTGGGTCCTGATCTTTTGTGCTTTTGCTGGAACACAATATATCTGCAATCTTCGCGCTTTCACCTTCACTCCTAACAAAGCTCATGTCCAGTATGGAATCCATCAATGTCTCAATAAACAAAACTTTCTTTGAAGTGAGTGGTGTTGAGAACTGATTTAACCAGGATTCTGACATCGTTTTCCTGGTTTAGAGCTGCATGTACAGATCATGTGGCTGGATCCTGGCATCTAGACACCAGGGCTGTGTGTGCAGTTCTAAAGCACTGAATATGTAGGTACAATACTGAGCAGATGGTTAGTCCTATTGTATTTGATGGCAGTGATCAACTGTTGTGGTGGAGCTCCTCATCCTAAGCCTCCTCCCTGCACCCTTGCCCAGAAAGAAGAACTGCTCTGTCTGTTCTGGATGCACCAACTATCTGTCCAGGAAATTGGCATGTTCCTTTACACTGAAGTATGTTTTGAGCATCAGACAACTATGAACAAGGCAGCAGCGTAGTCACTGTGACATTCTAATGCCACCTCTGAAGTTGACAAAAACAGTACTTACTTTGCAGCACCACCACCGTCCAATTTAGTCCACCTGAGCAGAGAAGAGTCTTTGGTTAATTGCTTTTCACAGGGGCAATGAGAGCTTTGAGACACACATCAGTATTAAAGCCTAACTTGTACCATCGAGAAGGGAGGGCCATAATGTCTAACCTTTCCCCCTGTCTTTGAAAACAGACAAAAACTGCAGCCAGAAAACAGGATGAGACCCATCTCTCTCATACTCCTGTGGTGAACAGTAATAATCTCTTCTAAGAAACTATACTCTTCAAGACCTGATTAGTGATGGGCAACTGACCTTACTAGAGTTTTTGTCTAAACTTGAGCTTTCAATACTGTCAAAATCAATAATGTGCAACAGAGATCAATATGGTATCTTTATCCCCCTGAAAAATCATGTATCCTTTCACACAGGAGCAAGAATTTACAGATTCCAACCATTGTTGTTGCCTTCTAGAAATCTTGTTTTAGGCAACTGGCTTGACTTTGGAAAATGACGGAATACCACATCATAGTAATGTAACAGGGGATCCAAAGATAGAGATTCTTGTTCTCATGCAGAAACTGTTAATTAGGAATCTGCAGGAGCTTTGGGCTCTCTTAGAATTCCAATTTAAGACCAAATGATTTTGAGAAACTTATATTGGCCAGTTTGGTGTAGTGCTTAAGTGCGCGGACTCTAATCTGGGAGAACCAGGTTTGATTCCCCACTGTTCCACTTGCACCTGCTGGATGACCTTGGGCAAGCCATAGTTCTGGGACAGCTGTTCATGAAAAAGAGCAGTTTCTGTCAAGAGCTCTCTCAGCCCCACCTAACTCACAGGGTGTCTGTTGTGGGGAGGGGAAGGGAAAGGAGTTTGTAAGCTGCTCTGAGACACCTTTGGGTCAACAGAAACATTAGGTACACTATCCAGGAGTTTTTGTTGCAGTATGAAGAGAAGTACTCCTTGTGGTTGCACAAACTTTTGAAGTCTCAGAATACTTCTGCTACTCCTGGGGCTGTCATTTCACTCTGGGGGCTGTCATTCCAGACCTACAACACATCTCCTACCCCCAGCGGCTGTCAGTCCACTCTGGGGCCTGTCATTCCAGTCCCAGAACACATCTGCTACTCCCAGGGGCTGTCATTTCATTCTGGGGGCTGTCATTCCAGTCCCAGAATAGTCTATTTGAGCCCAGAGACCTTAATGAAAAATCTATTCCGTTAATGTTGACTATCAGTTCTGGGCTCCTCTGAGGTCTGTGCCCTAGGCAGCCACCTAGTTGGCCTAATGGTAGCACTGGTCCGGTATGTAAGATTATGTTCAATTTATGGATGTGTTAAGTGAGCTTAAGCTTGTGATCATAAAGGGACTCTTGCCAACAGTCAATAACTTTCCTTCTATTTTGCTTTTATTTTTTTTTAAGACCCCATGGATGAAACAAAAGAGACAACTTCATCCAGCAACTCAGCGATAGACTTGTTCAAACAGGGAGCAGGCAAGTAGTATGAATAGAAAAGTTAATTATTTTAGTTGTTTAGGGACCTGAAAGCAAAATAATCTATATCCTTCTTAAATTGTGGTGCCCAAAACTGAACACAATACTCTAGGTGAGGTTTAACCAGAGCAGAGTAAAGTGATACCATCTATGTGATCTGGACACTATACTTCTGTTGATACAGCCCAAAATTGCATTTGCCATTTTAGCTACCATGTGACACTGCTGACTCTTGTTTAGTGTATGCTACGTTTGTTATGTACTTACCCAGGTACACTACTCAGCACAAGAAGATTCTGTGAGGTGAAAAGATTACAATAACGGGTTTACCCAAAACTAGCCAGAACATCTGCATAATTATCATTTGGTTATGAAACCAACAACGATTCTCTTGGAAAAACTCAACTGACAAATAGGCTTTTATGTCTATGTCCAACCATTCTACTTGTAGATTATATTTTATGTCACTGGATTTGACAAGTGGAAACGAAATTGGCAACTTATTTGAAAATTAGCCTTTAGGAAAAGAGCTCTGATTAGTTCACTTCTTTCTGAGTTTGCAATGATCCTATTTTGATCAGGAACTGAAATGCAAATCATGGACAATGTAACCACGACAGTTCTTGCCATTTGGGAGTGGTCAGTGGAGGGTGGCTGAAGTAGGCAAACAACGCACAGAGCAATATGTTGTCAAAGGCTTTCACGGCCAGAGTTCATTAGTTGCTGTAGATTTTCCGGGTTGCGTGGCCGTGGTCTTGGCATTGTAGAACCTGACGTTTTGCCAGTAGCTGTGACTGGCATCCTCAGTCTCACCTTGACACAGAAAGTACTCCATCTTTCTGTGTTCTGCCTCTGAGGATGCCAGTCACAGCTACTGGCAAAACGTCAGGTTCTACAATGCCAAGACCACGGCCACGCAACCCGGAAAATCTACAGCAACTAATGAACTCTGGCCGTGAAAGCCTTTGACAACATATTGCTCTGTGCGTTGTTTGCCTACTTCAGCCACCCTCCACTGACCACTCCCAAATGGCAAGAACTGTTGTGGTTACATTGTCCATGATTTGCATTTCAGTTCCTGATCAAAATAGGATCATTGCAAACTCAGAAAGAAGTGAACTAATCAGAGCTCTTTTCCTAAAGGCTAATTTTCAAATAAGTTGCCAATTTCGTTTCCACTTGTCAAATCCAGTGACATAAAATATAATCTACAAGTAGAATGGTTGGACATAGACATAAAAGCCTATTTGTCAGTTGAGTTTTGCCAAGAGAATCGTCGTTGGTTTCATAACCAAATGATAATTATGCAGATGTTCTGGCTAGTTTTGGGTAAACCCGTTATTGTAATCTTTTCACCTCACAGAATCTTCTTGTGTTGAGTAGTGTACCTGGGTAAGTACATAACAAACGTAGCATACACTAAACAAGAGTCAGCAGTGTCACATGGTAGCTAAAATGGCAAATGCAATTTTGGGCTGTATCAACAGAAGTATAGTGTCCAGATCACATAGATGGTATCACTTTACTCTGCTCTGGTTAAACCTCACCTAGAGTATTGTGTTCAGTTTTGGGCACCACAATTTAAGAAGGATATAGATTATTTTGCTTTCAGGTCCCTAAACAACTAAAATAATTAACTTTTCTATTCATACTACTTGCCTGCTCCCTGTTTGAACAAGTCTATCGCTGAGTTGCTGGATGAAGTTGTCTCTTTTGTTTCATCCATGGGGTCTTAAAAAAAAAATAAAAGCAAAATAGAAGGAAAGTTATTGACTGTTGGCAAGAGTCCCTTTATGATCACAAGCTTAAGCTCACTTAACACATCCATAAATTGAACATAATCTTACATACCGGACCAGTGCTACCATTAGGCCAACAAAGTGGCTGCCTAGGGCACAGACCTCAGAGGAGCCCAGAACTGATAGTCAACATTAACGGAATAGATTTTTCATTAAGGTCTCTGGGCTCAAATAGACTATTCTGGGACTGGAATGACAGCCCCCAGAGTGAAATGACAGCCCCTGGGAGTAGCAGATGTGTTCTGGGACTGGAATGACAGGCCCCAGAGTGGACTGACAGCCGCTGGGGGTAGGAGATGTGTTGTAGGTCTGGAATGACAGCCCCCAGAGTGAAATGACAGCCCCGGGAGTAGCAGAAGTATTCTGAGACTTCAAAAGTTTGTGCAACCACAAGGAGTACTTCTCTTCATACTGCAACAAAAACTCCTGGATAGTGTACCTAATGTTTCTGTTGTTCTAAGGATCCTTCTCACACTTCCAGTGTCAATGGCAAGTGATCAATGCAGTTTCTGAAAGCTCAAACTTATAAAAACATGCACACGCTCAACAATGCTGCAAAAGAGACTACTTGGTTTGGCAAGTATATCAACTGAACACATGGAAGCATCAGCCCTTGACCTGAAGGTATTGGTGACAACATTTGCAAAGGAAAAGGCATGGAAAATGAGATTTTGATGTTCCTGAAATGGAAACATCCAAGAGACTTAAATTTTAACATCACAATTCACAGGATTATTCAAAACTAGGAATAGGGCCCATTGTGGAAATAAATACAATGAGGTCTAGAAAGAGGCTCTGGGCGGGTGCCCCGGCCTTGGGCACTCAGCTTCAATTTGCTGCAGCAACCTCAGCAGGGTATAATGACACAGAGTCCACCATTTTCTCTAGAGGAACTGATCTCTGCTACCTGAAGAGTAGTTGTAATTTTGTGTGATCTCCACCCTCACCTGGACACTGGCAACAATGGTTCCCCAGGAAGAAATGGCTGGTTTGGAGGGTGGAGTCTATGGCATTGTACCTATCTGAGGTCCCACCCCTCCTCAAACTCCACCCTCTCCAGGCTACACCCCTCAAATCTCCAGGAATTTACCAACCTGGAGGTGGCAACCCTAGCTCCAGCCAAGCATCAACCTGCCATTGTCTGCCCCTTTGATTTCAGCTTTACATCTCCTCCCCCTCCCTCCTGGAGAGCAGTTGTAATTCTGAGTGATCTCCAGCACCCACCTGGAGATTGGCAACAATGGTTCCCCATGAGGGAATGGCTGGTTTGGAGGGTGGAGTCTATGGCATTATACCTGTTTGAGGTCCCACCCCTCCTCAAACCCCACCCTCTCCAGGCTCCACCACTCAAGTCTCCAGGAATTTCCCAACCTGGACTCGGCAACTCTATCTCCTTTCCAGCCAAGCACCAACCTGCCATTATCTGCCCCTCATTCTTCAGCTTTCCATCTCCCCTTCACACCTGCAGCTGCTACCATGCTTTGAAGCCCTGACTGCTACATCACATTGGCTGTCATAGGGGGGGGATCTCAGCAGAGTATAAGGACACAGAGTCCACCATTTTCTCCAGGGGAACTGATCTCTGCCATCTAGAGAGCAG